GGCATGCTGAATCTTAATTGAGCGCACGTAAAACCAATGCCTTTCAAGAACAACCACCAGTAGCCTAAAATATAAGATTTTAGGCGCAACACTTTATGTTCGCTCCATTTCCTCAGAATTATCTAATTTACAGATGACCTAAATAAAATTAAGAAAGTGGGGCACTTCGATTCTTTATTTAATGAAGGGGGTCGTAATGAAGGTTTAACATTGCAAAGAATCTCCAGCAAAGATGTAAAAATATCTTCTTGAAAAAGAGAAGAGGCTGCAGCAAACCCAGCAAAGAGGGGAGCTTATTTAAAATGGGTTTTGTCAGGATATGATTGGCACTAATTTGCATTAAAGTTGCAGAAAGATCTGACTGTAGCCGAAACTGAGAACATGACAGTGTTATTGCATGTTTAACAGCAGCTTGATTTATTGTAGGTCTCTCATCAGAGCTGATTGTTTGCAGAAGTAGAGCTCTTTAGTTATATTTTTCTTTCTTTATTTATTTTTTTCAAGCTGCCAGACTTTCTTAAGCTGCAAACTTGTTCTGTAGCAGATTTTCACCAGAGTCTGGCCATGTCGGCCTGCTCTACGTTAATGTTGACAGCTGTTTATCCTCAAATTACAAAGTCTTTTGTCAGAATCAGTGTTTATTTATTTATTTTATTTATTTATTTATTTTTCAGACTTTAGTTTCTGTTTTTGTTCCTGGTCTCACATGTTCCCAGTCTTCATTATGCCAAGGTAACTCCTCTTCCTCATCAGTCTCTGTCTATATGAAATGAAAKCTTTCGTTTCATTCCCTTACCAGTTGAGCATTATTGGWTTTCATGCCATGTTCAGTTCATCTCCTCAGACTACTCCTGGGTTGGTAAGGTATGCCTTGACAACTTTTTGTTTTTGCTYAAAATAAACTTTATTTGTTTTTATTTTTATCTCCTTACCGGTCTGCATCATTGAATCAAACCTGAACCTGTGACATCTCTACAGAAATAAAAACAGCCAAATGGTGCAGGTGGGGTTCTGAAAGCACACCTGGGGAGTCATTTAAGTGACAACAAAGCCTGTGTGTGCTGAAACATATAAAACATTCCAGGGTTGTGATGAGGAAAAAGTACAAGTTGTGAAAAAGAAATGAATGAATAGAGTGATGCACTTCAACRATGTTAATCCAGTTTTTTTCATCATGATGCAATTATGAAGAAAAACAAAATAACATTTKTTAATTTAATATGCTGCAGCTTTTTTTTCTTTTCACATTATGAGTCTGAGTTGTTGCTTTAAGAATGGAAAAAATGAAGCATGAAGTTGCTGCTATCTCACTCCTCATCATCACGGTTAGGTGAAACAGAGCAGCACGTGAAAATACCTATGTTTGTTTTTGTGTTTAGCTCACATCTGAAAAGTCCTGTCAGGTGAAAAACCTGATTTGTAAGGACAAATCACGTAAGCTGCAGCTGCAATTAAAAACATGTTTTTTTATCTATCATCTTATGTTCAAAAACGACCAAAAGAATTTCCTTTTTTGCAGAACAATGTTGATAAAATCTCATGGTAAAAATAATCTGGACAAAAGAAAACTGAAGGAACAAAAGGCCAGGACTGATGAGGTAAGTGGATGCAGCTAAGATTAATAGGAACAGGAAACTGTGAGTAGGAGGAGCAAAAAATTAATATTAAAAATATRTCCTTTTAAAAAAGTGAGGGTTAGTAAATCAGACCTGATACTTTCTGCAAAAATTAAATTTAAATTAAATCTAGCCTGAAAAACAGGTAAAATAAATAAATAAATAAATAAACACTCAGCTGACACAACGTCATCGTGGAGTTTTTTTTTTTTTACTAGAAAATCTGGGTTCAAAATATTTGTGAGCAGAGCATGACTCAGCAGATACTGTATTTAAACCCTTCAGAAGGGTTTTGCCCAGCAGTTGGTACTGATGCTGCCTGCCGGAACATCAGGAAAAACACCTTAAAGGTAAAAAATGTTTTTATTATTTTTTATGTTTTACAACTTAAGAGGACTGATTAAAGTTTTCGCTTAGATTATGTGGTTCAACTAATATTTTCTGCTGCAGTCAAGAGACCTTATTTTTGTTTTGTTTTGATAATTATCTTTTTAAACTGACAAGCAAAACTGAAATTTAAACAACGAAGCTAAAATGTTGAGGCTGTTTTTATTTTTGTTAAAATTAGTTTTGAATTGGGTAAGTAATTAATTCAAGTTGACATTATTATTTTTCTTTTTATTTTTCTTCTTTTTTAAAGAAGTCGACTACAGCAGGTATTTCAGTATCACATGACAACTCACACAAGTGTGACAAAGGCTGAGAACTAGATGTTCTCTGACAAATTTAGAAGCACTTTTCCTCTTTTTAAGTTAATGATTCATTATGCCAGTTGGTAGTAAAATAMTTCAGCTTTTTGTTTTGTTTTGTGTCATTTCACTTTGCATTTTGGCATTTGATGTTGAGGTTTTATTGCTTAGATGAAGCAGAATACTCCCTCCACYGTGTGTCCTCTGCTGGACAGAACTGTAGGACAATCCTGGACATCAGTGGACGGCAGCCTGTTTCTAAAAAGTCTAATAAAACATATTTTAAAATAAGTGTGTAAGAAATGAAACACATGCAGGCTGGTCTAAAAGCACAACTTAAAATATTAAAATATACATAATTTCTCACTTTTTTTCTGTCTTTATTTCATGCAGAAAAGAGTCGGCTCCACAAAAAGACAAATTTCCTCCTGACAGAGATCCAGAGACATGAAGAAAATTTATCTCAAAGTCCTGATTTTTCTGACAGCCATGCAGGGAACAGCAGTTCTGCTCCTCTACAGCTGGAACAGAAAAATCTTCTCCCCCAATGAAAGAAAAGTTCATGTTCTGCTGCTCTCATCGTGGCGTTCAGGTTCATCCTTCCTGGGTCAGGTTTTCAGTCAGCACCCGTCTGTTTTCTATCTAATGGAGCCCGGCTGGCACGTGTGGACMCAAGTGCAGCAACCTGGGGCCCAGCGCCTCCAARAGCCTGTGAGGAATTTACTTCAAAGTCTGTACAAGTGTGACTTCTCAGGATTGGATGCTTATTTACCAGCAGAGCCTAATGTTTCCTCCTTGTTTCTGTGGACTGAAAGTTGGGCTCTGTGCTCCCCCCCGGCCTGTCCCCTCACAGTGACGAACGAGACTCAGTGCCGTCAGAAATGTGATGTTCAGGGTTTGCAGAAGGTGCAGGAGGCCTGCCACACATACAGTCACGTGGTGTTAAAAGAAGTGAGATTCTTTGAACTGGAATCCCTTTACCCTCTTCTAAAAGACCCCAACTTAGATCTCCGAATTGTTCATTTGGTCCGGGACCCTCGGGCCGTGTTGAGGTCTAGAGAGGAGTCAGCTGAGTCATTTGTGTTGGACAATGATATAGTCCTGGAGCACAAACCCGTACCGGCAGMTGAAGTTCAGTACAAAGTCTTGGAGGAAATTTGCCGTAGTCACATACGCATCAGTAAGACGGCCATCCTGGAACCTCCTCCCTTTCTAGAAGGCCGCTATAAAATGGTCCGCTACGAAGACGTGGCACGAAACCCACTGAAGGAAATCAACAACATTTATCAGTTTGTAGGTTTAGGAATGACCAAACAGATGGAGGAATGGATCCACAAGAAGACTCATGGAAAGGGGAGGGGCAACGCAGCACAGGCTTTCCAAATCATCTCTAGAAATGCCACCCAAGTGTCCCAGGCTTGGCGCACCATGCTGCCACACCACAAGGTCTTACATGTTCAGGAAGTGTGCAGAGAGGCCATGGGACTGCTCGGCTACAGGAGCGTTCAGAGTGAAAAAGAACAGACTGCATTTGACACTGATCTGCTGCTTCCACTGACACTTTAACGATTCATCTTCCAGATAAAAACATGAGAGACAAACTCTGAAAGACATTTCAGATCTTCCTCCAGTGTTTCTTTGTTGAGGCTATCAGGGTGAACCAATATTATTTTGTGGTTTTTTTTTTTTTTTTGTAAAAGTAGCTTTTTTGTTCGACTGCTCCAACAGCCACAGAATTATGAGGCCTCTGAGCTACAACATCTGTTTTCTTAGGTAAAAGTAACTTTCTGCAAAAGGATTAGAGTGACAGAGAGAGAGAAAAAAGTTTTGCAAAACCTTAATATTCATCCATTATCTTCACCTGACAGTGGTCACTGGTGCCCACATCCAGCAGTCACAGTGCGAGGGGTGGGGTACACCCTGGACAGGTTGCAAATCCATCACAGGGCCACATATAAAGACAAACGAGACAACCATTCACTCAGGGACAATTTAGAGTTACCAACTAACCTGACAGTCAAGTTTTTGGTCTGTGGGAGGAAGCCGGAGTACCTGGAGAGAACCCACACATGCACAGAGAGACTCTACCCAGAAAGGCCCCCAGGCCGGGATTTGATCCGGCAACCTTCTTGCTGAGATGCATCAGCTCTACCAACTGAGCCGCCCAATGTTTCATATCATGTCACCAAATAGTTGTTGTACTGATTTAACTCACTCATGATCAGCAGCAGAGTGAATGTTTCTTTTTTATTTTTCTAGAGTATAAAACAATTGAATACCATCTTTAAAAGATTTACTTGACACAGAAGCCAAACTAAAATGGTGATGAACTGACTTTATCTTACATTTTAAACCTTTATTTAATGAAAACTTTTTTAAGTCAACAATGGYTTTATTATTTAAAAACTATTTAGATATTATTTATTATTTATGTTGTGTAATCTATGTTTTACTGTCTGTTTTTGTGGGTTTAAACCTTGATAATTAAGATGATGGGTTTCCTCAGAATGTGATCTTAATGGTAATTTCATTGTGCTCTGTACATTGACAATAAATGCAGCAATGAATGAATGAATAAATGAATGAATGAATCAATCAGTCCTTTAGTGTCTCGTGTTGAATGAGTCTTTGCTTAAAAAATAAATAAATTAAAGACAGACTTGTTTTGTTGTATTCATGGAGGTATATAGAACAGTAGGAGTGTGTCTTGATAATGTGACCACATCATTCATTGTAGCAGCGGTGGCCGTAACCAGACCAGGTAAATGTCTGGACTTATTATTACATGATGTCAAAATAGCAAACAAWAAGGCCTAGTTATGTAAAAATTATTGATGATTATAAAATATTATAATCAAAATATAAAGAATATTATTCAGAAAATATTATTCAGATATTAGATAAGCTTCTAATGTAAAAATGTCAAAAAGCCGTGTTATGAATTTAACGACAGAAAAGAAACAGGTAAACATCTAATTTCACCGGTAAGCAGATGTGAACATTTCACAAGTGTTGACTGGTAAATATTTGTTATTACTTATAACTGGTAAGAAATAATGAAAAAAATTGTATAGGTCTTCTGGACAGGTTCTTCTCTAATGAAACGTTTCATCTCTCCTCCAAGAGACTTCTTCAGTCTGAGAGTTTCAGGCAAAATTCAGGCTTTTAAGCCCTGCCTCCATGTGACTGATACTCACATCACATGGCTATCGTTGGCACCGAGGGGTGCCACCGAGCCATTGG